GCCAGCCGCCGTTGCGAGGGGCCGGTCGCGCCCCCGGCGTCTCCCGTGGGCCGGGCGGGCCCGCGCGTCCCCGCTGCTGCTTGCCCGCAGCTGGCGCCCTCGGCTTCGTCCCGCCGGGCTTCCCCGGCGGGCTCTGGAGGGCAGGGAAGCCCCTCGGCTCCCGCTGCGGGGAGGCGGCTTTCAGGGACGGGCATTTCTAATGCGTTTCTTCCGAGTGAAGAAATGCAGACCCTCGTCGCAGCTTTCTGGCGTTAGAGAGAAGTGTGCTGAGAGTGTACAGCCTTCCAGGTGTTCGTACCACCTTCAGTGGCGAATTTTGCTTTTTCCTGTGATGCTGATCTTAGTTCCAAGTAACAGGTATTTTTTTTTTACTTTAAGAGACACCAGCTGTCTGTCACCTCATGAGCAAACTCGCCTTGCAAAGCCGGCTCGGCCATCCCAGCTCCTCAGCCTGGCAGGACAGTGCTTGGCAGACCCCTGAGCGTTCAGTCCAGGGCAGCAGACGCTGTTGTAGCACCAACACAAGCTAAGAAATCAGCAGCTCCCTGCTCTCCTTGGCCAGATAAACGTTTATAGTGCTGTTGATACCCTGAGTTAACCCTGTCTTGAGCTAACTGGGGCTGCAGCCGTGTGGTTTGACATTTCTCTGTGCTTGATCTGAATGCAGAGCATGAGGAGAAAAATCTGCCCCCTGTGTTAGATAATGAAAGTTTTGGCTTCTGTTGGGCCTAACTTTCACCCGTCGTCGTAAAATTTCACAAGAATGACATTTGTACAGTTATTTTTACTGGCTTTTTTTAGCTAATTCTCTTTTCTACTGGTAGGAATTAGTTCTGACTCTTTCTGGTCATTGCGACCTTGCTTCCCAGGGAAGTGCCAATTTTGTTCCACCGTCAAATTGATTACAAATAGGAGATAGTGCACAGAGATTTAATTAGGGCATGGATGTACAGTATGGATTCTCGAGCAACAGTTGGTAACACCGCATTCAGCTTTTTCATTGGGCATTTAGTTAGTATTTAGAAATAAAAGGAAGAACAAAACCCTTGCATTTCACAGACTGTTGATTATTCTTGTTATTATTTCCATGTCTTCTTCTGCCCACTGCAAGTCAAGGATAATTGGTAGAAAAAAAATCTGTCCCATTCTGTTAGAAATCTGTTTCACAGTGATGTTCAGCAAACCAGCTGTTGGTCCAGTTACCAAACCCCACCTTTCTTCAGGTCATTTAAAAGGGGAAAGCTGTTGTTTTCTGTCAAGACTTGTGATTAGTAAAATGAAAGGTGCCCTTCTCTATTTTTTATTCTTTCCAAGTGTATTCCAAAGTTATGCTTGTGCTTTCCAGGGGGAACAAGTAAGCTCCATTCTGTGAAGTGGGATATGTAAGAATTTTTAAAAGAAAATGAATATAGAAACACACAGGTAATTTGAGCCTTATTGTGCTGTTCCTTATTCTCCCCATACACTGCAGACAGCTGAAAGTCCTGTATTTCCAGCAATCCTAAAATTAACTCCAGTGTTTCTGCAGTTCTAAAAAGGCAGGAGAGGACAATGTTTGTTTTCTTTCTCGTGTCACACTGGTGACTGAAGCGGATCTGGAGGGCTTGGCAGTGGGTGGGGTGAACCGTTACATATTTTCTGTGTCTGACGAATGCGCAGGCTGCTCGGCGTCTGTCCTCTCTCTGGTCAGCGGCAAAAGCTCCTAACGAGTAGATGGTCCTGACGATTAAAGCTGAGGTAGAGTAGTTTGACTGCAGGGATTTCCTGTGCCACAGTGCAGGCTGGGGATCCTTTATGGCCAGGGGCTTCTGACCATGTCTGCGGCCGAGGAGGAGGTGAGGTAAGGGGGTGCGGGGCTCGGAGCAAAAGCTCAGGTGAGCTGGGGTTGATGGTGTGCTGAGAGCGGGCAGCATGGCCGTACACTCTGGGTCGGTTGGACTCCCTGGGAGTATTTCTGTGGCTCCTTGTAAGAAAATTATTCCTTTGCAGTGTCTTTCTCAAAAAATGGTAACTTGATTGACATTTCTGAATTGAAATGCCAAAGGATGGGGCAAAATGGAACAAGAAGCATATTTTAGTATGCTTTGACAGATCACGTTTGAAGGTTTGTGGTTCAGATCACATGAAACTTATTTTACAAGACCATCTCAGTTTTTTCAACTGTGTGGAAAATGCATTCAGCTGCTATTTGTTGTGGCTACTCGGGTTCATGACCTGGCTTCTCTCATCCTTGCAGTGGCTTTTAAAACTGGCTTTATCAAGTTTTAGATCAGTTTAAATTGTGAAAAGTCATTAGAAAAATCCTAAGGACTGGCAGTATCCTAATGAAAGGGACTACCTTTAGTACTTTGGAGAGTAGAATTGCAAGTTTATATTATCACTGATGCAGTGGACTATTGAATTATTGCTAATAGAGAACATTTTCATTTAAAAAACTTAAGTGTTTTCTTAACTGATACAACAACATTAAGATTTTGGGTTTTTTTAAAGGAACTCACAGGTCTGAATGAATGATTATAAATGAGGAATTGTCATGAAATTTCTGTTTTCTAGATGGGTTCCACTGGTGCCCATTCTTAGCCCTTCATTAGTGATTGTTTTTGCCTGTTAGTTTAAAGTAAACATCCAAGTCATCGCAGATAACTTGCAAGTGATGCAAAAATCAGGAAATAACTAAAAAATCAGGGTCACAGACTGAGAGCATGGCAGCTCGCTTTGAAAGAGTTAGAGAAGAGCCCCGAACGGGTTGGAAAACATGCTGACGGTGAGGACTTCTGGTGGTCCCGTCCATCTCTTAACAGAGGGAAGGTTAAAAGAAAACTTGTTAACAGTTTATGAGCGAGGACAAAGGTGTAGCAATGCACTGATCAGATGCTAGGCAAGTTTAGACCAATTTTAAGAATTTGGCAAAGATTTTAGTATATACTGAAGAGTTCTAATTGTAGACACAGTGTTTCTAAATAATTTTCTGTGGTTCAAAAGGTAATTGGTTTGGGAATTGTGTTGCTTAGGTGAAACTTGACCTTAAAGGGTCTTTTCTGGCTTTGTATGGTTTTATAGCTGACAAGGGCAAGATTTAAGAGGAAAATTCTTACAAGCTGTGAAATCTAATCACTGATGCAGAGTTTGTGATGAATTTTAACACACAGACTTGTTGACTTGGTAATTTACTGACTGCCAGCAACTTCTGTGACTCCAGAAAAACACCCTATACTCCTAAAACATCACTTCTTGCCAAGCAGAGGATGAGGTCCAGTGCATTTCTTGTAGTGCTTGCAGTTGTACATAGGTGTAATTCAGGCACTTCAGACCAACAAAGCAAGCAAGAAACACGCTGTCAGGTGTTGTTTAATCCTCAAAACGCCCACACTGGGTGCGTTATGGACTGGGTTACTGAACCTCCTGTGCCTCAGGTACTTCTGCTGGGGGAGCTGGAGCCAGCAGGCGCTCACAGTGTGGCTGATGCTTCTTTTTTGACCGAGCCACGGTGCTGGAGAGTGAGGAATTGTTACAGCATAGTGAGCTTTCAACTGAGAGCTGCTAAAATGCAACAGGGTGCATGTGAGCCAGGAACGGGGGAACCCATGCAGGCTGTGCTCATCAGGTTGAATTTTGGTGATTTGCCAATGTTTCCCTTGTGGTGATTTGTACCTGCGAGGGGCCACGTGGCTGAGAAAAAAAGTTATGAAATCAGTCTGTAGCCTCACTGTTAGCATTGAGCCGGGAAGAGGGAGGCAATTTTGTGGCTCTTTCCTAATGCCACTTCAGATTTTCACCATCTCTTTTCTAAACATTGGCAACGCAAAGCAAGATGCGGCAGGTACCTCATTATTCCTTTGCCTTATTGCTCAGACAGGATTCTCTGAATGGCAGCGCAAACTTGGACAACGGTAACAATCATTAAACAGTTGAAGTAAAAACCTTGGCAGATAATGGACCCCTTTGTTGTCTGGCCGCTCTGTGGTCCGAGATGATGGGTGCTGCTGTCTCATTAGGAGGAAGGTGATCCTTTCTTCCCACCCTGTTTCCAGCTTTTGTTTTTTGTGCTGCCACTCAACAAAGTGCTTTACAGAGTTTGTGCTCCAGATTTATTTATTTTTAATCTGGCTAATAGGAAGTAAATTATTCCCATGAAAAAAGTTCCATTAATATTCCCTACTTTTTATGCTTGCTCTACTTTAACGCTGTTGACCTATACAGGGAATCACGTTCCTTCCTAGCATCCCTGCCCAGCACATAGGAAGACTCCCTGAATTACAGATGTGCCTCTGAAAACTGGTCGCTGGACCACGGCCTGGTCAGCCCCTCGAGGGTGGCTGCACTGCTGCCTCCGTGTGGAGAAATGATCCCGTTTGCCGTGCTTTGTGAATGAGTATTTTATTGCAGAACCCCACGTCATTATCAGTCTTTCCAGCTGGTCTTTGCACTTCCCGCAAGCAGCAGGAGTGGAATTCCACTGTCCTGTACCTGTGCCATGTAATAACATGCTACGCTTTTTTTTTGACTCAAGCTGTGGTTAATAATGGTCAAATTCTATTAAATCACATTTCACTTGCTGTGTTCAGTATTGCTTGATGTCTAAATTCTGCTTCTGAAAAAAAACCCCATACTTTTAAAATGCCTAAATTATCTATTCAGTGGCCATTCTTTGTCATCGCTTTGGTAGGCTGTTCGCTTTCTGTTAAAAGCCACAAAAAAGAATTTATCTTCAAAATGCTCCTTGGAGGGGAAGAAGGGAATGTGTAGATTTCCTTTACTGACCTCCTCATACCATAAATATGAATCATTATCACTGCTTGGGTAGTGACGCATGGTTCTCCCCAAATTGTGGACTGTCTGGAAGGTCTGGCTGGGATTTAAAAAAAATTGGCTTTCTTTTGTGTAAAACAAAGATTTAAGGTGAAAGTTCTCAGATGCGCTGTGGGCTAAATTGACATACGGCAATGTATGGCTGGGCAGTTGCAACATTATGAGTTATTTTCTGGTGAAGAAAATACTGAGAACAGTAAATATTGTAGCAAAAAGAAATCCCTTTTTCTTCTGCAAACGCAGATAACTTAGTTTCATACCTCAGTATTGGCTAATAATTCCTTAATTATTACATTTCAAAGAAGAACCCAGGGCTTTAAGTAACAACACAAGCTACAAGGTTTTGTGACTATAAATAAAAAGCTATATTTGGAAAAAAACGAATAGTGTATTTATGGACAAAACTGTATTAAGGGAAATGTGATGGAAAAATTGAGTCAGATGAGCTGATGTATGAGGCATTTCCCTATGGAGTCATTGGGCTGAAAAATGTTTTATATGCTTAAACTTGAACAGATGCTTCAACACACACACACACACAAGTACATCCCCCCCCCAGTTTAATATTAGCAGTTTTGTTCATACCACTGTGATTAATTCACGAACCAGCCTGTTTTAGTCTCTTTTCCGGGGGCTATTGGGTATTTCCAGATCATCCAGGTACTTAAGCCCATGCTTAACTGTAAATATGAAGCAGCCCGGTTATTAGCAGAATTTCTTTCAAGCTTTACATTAGGCATGTGCTTAAATGACTCACTGACCTGGGATTTACATTTTTACACAGGAGTGAAGGATTTCTCCCCATTACCTTGCTTAGATGAAAATCGGTGGAGTCAGCCAGCTTTTTTGCCTAAATAAGGACATGATACCAGCTTTCGGCTCTTACAGATATTAGTTCCACCTTTTTAGTTACAAATTTGTCAGAAAACAATTCTGAGTGTGTGTGCCTGACCTCGTTTAAGATACTGTTGAAGTACGAAGAGAAGACATACATATGGATGACCAGCAGATTGTGCCTACTGTTCTTTTTAGTATGAATGTTGCATTTGGTGGTGCTGGAGAGGTGGCTGACAATTGCATTTTATTATTTTCCCTTTGAATACCTGTTGTGGTGTTCCACTCAGCTGTTTATCTGCTTTCCCAGGCTTCTGTTATTTGTCTTGTAGGTAGCTGTGCACAGCACTTCCTCTCTTCTAAAAATCCCCAAAGACCTCCCAAAAAATGCAGTGCGTTAGAGCCTGTTGTTTCCACTTTGCTTTTCTGATTGAGCTAAACTGATGAAGGAATGTGGAAAAATGACTTCTGAGTCTAGCTGTGGTGCACCTCAGGAATACACGGCTTACAGGATGAGCGATGATGCTTGTGGCATCAGGGGATATTGACTCCTGCTTGCAGTGACATCTCAGCATCGGACAGTCGTGAGTGGTGCAGCCGTGCCAGACTCGGGTATAACAAGTCATTGTCTGTAAATTTCTGTATCTCACGCTTAAAATAGTAGAGAGCCTGGAAGGGTGATTATATTTCTTGTGTGTAGATGGTTTCCATGCTACCTTGAGGGTGAGTTTCTGACTCCTTCTTAACTCCTGGAAGTCTTGCTGCGTTACAGATTCAGGGACACAGCTGACAAGTAATACTGTGTAATCCAAGGGACTGAGGTTGGAGAAACATCTGTAGGCAGGCAAGGGGCTGGGTGGTAGATTGTGCACATGGGGCTGGCCCCAGTGTTAATATATTTTTAAATGGTGTAAAAATATAATAATTAAGGTTCTTAATGTGTGTTTTGCAGGTGTGCTGTCTTGCATATGGCATCTCCTCCTAAAAATCCCCTGATTTTCATGGTAAACATATTTAAGTAGTTGAGAAATTACTAAATTTTAATTACAGCAGACATTCATTCACAAGAGTTACTTAGCCAACATGCAAATACGTAGTTGAACTATTTTTAAAAGGAGAAGAATTTTCATAGTGGAAACTGATTCCTGGGATATTAAAAAAATAAAATAAAATTGAAGTGTTTGGGAGGAAGTACAC